ACTCGCAGGTCGTGTTTTATTAGGTCTAAAGCCACTCGCGCTGCGCGCTCGTATCTTTAAACCTAATAAAACACTCCTGCTCGTTTATTAAACAGTACCTATCGCGCCTTTAAAAGTTATATCCGCGATTTATCCTTTTGGATGAAATATGGATGACTTTCATGACAATAGAAGCCGTTCGTTCGTCCGCTATTCATCCGTCTGTCCTCAGTTCCATCCGTCCGTCTATCCGTATCCTCGTTTTATCCTTATCCTAATTTGATGCACAAGCCAATTATAGCAACATGCATAAATTGGTTGAATACAAAACAACATATTTCATAGAGAATATTTTTTGAAACTAAAGTTGATTTTCCTTGATTAATCATGTAACATTTCCTTGATATGACTTCAAATATTGGATTTTGTTTTAAATTGAACTTCTTATTCTTAATGAGATGGTAGTTTTACAGTGCATACTTATGATTATCAAAGGAATCGCCAATCATAATCATGAGTGCAAGACTGCAAGAATTTTTTCTTGCATTAAAATAATTATAAATTTTCGTGTCGTTTTAAATTAATGAATCGGTACGTCAATCACATCGATTCAAACGCATCTACTTCTTACAGACGCACGCATGCATGATAAATCAATTAGAATACATGATCATGTTTGATATGACATCACTATGTGAAGCACACAAAGGATTTATAAATCATGTGATCCCGGTGCAATACTCTTACCAACTGCACGAGCTAGCTACATTCGAATCCAGTTGGTGAACTTTAACCACAAGTTCATGTAGCAAATATATACTTTGGTGACCCCGTGCAAGGCTATAGCCTCCTCCGCAGGTATCTCACCCGGGAATTAAATTGGGTGGTCAACACCCATTTGCAGGCTAAAACCCCTAGAGATGCCTGTGGGGGTAGGCTAATGCATATGCATGATAAAAAAGTAAAATTCATACTTTTTATAAGCGAGAATTTGAAACGTTACACTGCATGCATATTACGTCTTTCAAAGAGTGCCTACATTTGATTCTCATCATTAAACGCAAGAAATAAAATGTTACCAATTTATGATATTACTAATTTGTGTTTTATTAATACACCGTACTGTACGATTCATCTATTATTGTAGAGAATATTTGGCTATATGTTTTGGGCGTGCACACATAAAGTTTTCTAATTTGTTTCCTAGTTCCGAAATGCTCAAAGGATAACCTGGACATTTTCATTGTACTGGATGGCTCCCAAAGTATCCAAGCATTTAACTTTGAGAGACTTCGGAAATTCCTATCCAACCTCGTGGGACAATTCAAAATTGGCGAGTTCGAGAGTCGTGTGGGGTTGATGCAGTTTAGTAACAAGTTTCGCACCGTGATTGAGTTTGATTTTGGAAAACATAAAACCACCAAGGATATCCAAAACAATATTAAAACGCTCGTGCACCAACACGGTAACCAGACCTTCGCTGGAAATGCTTTGAAACATGTGAATAAGCATGTAAGTTTATGCGTTAATGAATTAGTTTAAAACGTATAATTTGCATAATTTGCTATAATTTACAATCTTTGTCAAAAACTATAGGACGTATATGCCGTGCCCCTCCCCCCTCGTTCAATGTTGGGCGCCCACAAAACCATTATCTGCCTGCATGTCGCCAACATTGAAACAGGTGGAGGGGGCGGGGGTAGGGGAGAGTAAATAAATGTATAAAAAGACTAAAATACATATGAATGCATGTAAAAAACTAAGTAGCCCCAATGTATATTGTCAAATATTGTAGTTGTTTCTATGATTGCAAAGAGCAGCATTATTGTCCCCTTAGCCCTTTTCGAAGGGTTATGATAATAAGAAGCAAAATAGTTGCCGTCTGTAAAGTCAAGTTAACCGGAACTCCTATTATTTAAGATTTGACGACAACATGTATTTGAAAAATCTGCATGAAGACTATCGTTTATTTGACAGAAGTTATCGAGCGGCTCTATATCACCAGTGATCACTGTCTAACCAACCAACCAACCAACCAACCAACCAACCAACCAACCAACCAACCAACCAACCAACCAACCAACCAAACCAACCAACCAACCAACCAACCGACAAACCAGAAAACAGGACCAATAATCGCTAGATAGACTGGACTGAATATATTGGACACGTTCAGATTTTACTTCCACTACCACTACCTTGCACTAGCTCAATACACATTTGATTGCATGGTTAATCCGATGGATTAAACGCATCTTATTGATCAATGGTATTGCGGTAGCAGTAGCAGTAGTGGAAGTCAAAATTGGAACCAATCATGAGTCAATCTAGAGTCCGGGTGGGCTCTATAACAAACATACTTGCAGGGAGGTGAGTCCGGGATTGGACGCACCGAGGGTGGCTGCAAGTTTCCCAAACTCATCGAGAGAAGCGAGGTGAGTTCGGGAAACTTCCAGCCACCCGAGGTGCGTCCAATCCCGGACTCACCGAACCTGTAAGTATGTTTGGTTTTTATCACATGCCATTTCGGTAAAATACTAAAAAATACTGAAGAATTAATTTTATACGCATTTTACTTTTTAAAAAGTATATAATTTCGTGTTTGGATAACGAACATTTTAGCCGCCAATATACTACGCAAACAAACAAACTTAGGCTTAAATTAAAGCTAAAAAAAATCTCTACAATACTCCCTTATTCTTGAAAAGAGAAAATGAACACATTCTGCGAAAACAATGCCAAGACTTATATAAATCTACTCGTGCCGAACAAATTTCGGCGGCCATCTTTCTTTTTTTCCACTTTGAATACAGAATATTCCATTTTCATCACACAAAATAAAAAAAATAATAATTATAAAACAATTAAAAACAGCTAACTTATTTTTTTATTTAAATCTTCATCTGAAATTTGTTCAACTCGCTTCATAATGGCCGCCGCCAAAACATCAATCTCGAACCAGTGAACTCTAATAATAACTGGAAGGCTAACTCCTATGATCAAAGTCTATGATTCGTTGAAGCCGGCGCGCGGGAAAATCAGCTTTCAAAAGGACTAAGGAGAGTTTCGAGGAGTGAAAAAAATTCTGCCAAAAGTTTGTTTTCGAGCAAAAATTTGCAAGAAAAACACTTTTTCCATAGGAATACAACAATGATTGGGATTTAAACCAGGTTTTCCGAGTAGTTCCAACTGTTTTACATCTCTCTGCAGCAAAAAGTAAGGAGTTTTGCTTTTGTATTTTGAAAAAATGACGAAAGTTTGGACGTGCCGAAGGAAACCTCGCCGTTCAACTAAAAAATATATACTATAAAACATTTTGACAGTCCCAAAATTTATGTTGTACTAAACCCTAGGTATTGTTATTGATCCTGAGCTTTTAGTCCTTGTTTTAGTCGCACTTAAACATAAATAAATTGGCGTTTTTCAAGTGATGTCATTTTCGTCATCGGCATCTTGTTGGCCACTATGAGCACTTTGAATATGGCAATATTTTTGTCAATTTTCAAATGCTTTTTTTTCGACCTTAAAACGTTCAATCTTCTTGAAACTTCGCATACAGATGTATTTTGCATGGGTATAAAAAATTCCTGAGGTATGACGTCTTAGTTTTACCTTAAACTTCCAAAAACTCAGAAAAAGCAGCCTAAAACGCGCGGTTTTTCAGACCGTTCATGCTTATGGTCGTGTTTTTTCGTAATTTTTTGCTAATACGTGATTTGTTTGCTTTGCGAATATTAAATTCATTTATCACACTACTAATATAAATTAAATTTGGTAGTATAACTAATATTTTTGGGCAATATTTTTCTGATCAAAAAATGTGCATATTTTGAAAAAAAAAATTAAAAAGGACTGGGTCTACCTACAAAAAAAGCTTCAAGCACGGCTTCAATTTCCCCCCCTGACTTAGCCTTCCAGTTATTATTAGAGTTTACTGTCTCGAACCCACCTCCTAAACTTACGTCAGCAGGTGGGTTCGAGATTGAACGCACCTCCTCGTAGCCAATAGGAAAGCCGCTAATACGCTAGGTATGAGATAATAGTTTGACTGATTATATGTAATCTGACTGGATGGACTCATTGACAGACTACTTTATTGGTTGTGTCGCTGCTACTCCATCTTCATTGGGATTTATTTCATCAAGTAATTCTTGCGTTGCTACTTGTTTAGTGCGGTGGCTGACCGTTTCGGGATGGTGTAAATAACATAAAATTTTAGAACATTTGTTAGAATATCTTTCTTTACATCTTCTAGGTGTTCCCAGCTGGAAATGCAAGTGGTCGTCCAGATGCTGAAAAGGTCTTGCTGTTGATAACAGATGGCCAACCGCACGACCCTGAGGTTGCCTTGGAAGAGGCAGTTAAACTAAAGAAAAAAGGAGTTCATTTAATCACAATTGGAGCAGGAACTGAAAAGTGGATAAGCAAGTTAAAATTGTTTCTCAATCGCCTTGGATCTAAACCAACTCACAATCACCAAGAAGAATTCAAATATTTGCAGAGGATTACACATAAATTGGTGAACGACATTTGTGGAAGCAAAGAAAGGCAGCCTGCTAGTACGTTTTTTCGACCACATTAATATTTTATAAAGCTATTTTGAAACTCAGATTCATGTTATCAGTAAGAACCTGGAATTTGAGATGTAAGATGTTTAAACTTTAAACATATAGTCAATCCAGCTCGAAGCACCAAGATTTCGGTTGCTATAGTTGTGCTCGCTTATTTTTCTTTGTGTACTTAATCTTTAACCTAATTCCCAAATTAAAAGAAATGCTGTAATCTCTTACAACACTTTCTTTACAGCTCCTCACAAGTGTTTCCAGGAGAAAAAGGACATTCTGATCATGATGGATGGATCAAAATCAATTGGCAAGAGAAAGTTCAAAAAAGTGAGATCATTTCTACAAGACTTTCTATCCCGAGTGGATGTTGGATCATCTCGAATTCACGTCGGCGTTATTGAATTCAGTGACAGTCACACAACAAGTATTGAGGTTTCACTTAATCAGTATACTACCGTAGAAGATCTAGTCGCGGCTGTGGCTAAAATAATGTACCAAGGAGGGAAAGAAGCAGATCTGCTTGACGCACTCAGGACGGCAGATTCAACGGTAAGAAACTATGTTACAAACTATGTTATAAAAAATAGGAAAGAGATTATATTTATAAGGAAACTTATAGAAAGCTAATAAAAAGCCTAGACTTATAGTTATTAAGAAAACATACATGGTTTGAAAATCGGGAAATTTGGGACCTGCTCATTCAGGTTTCAGTCATTGCGTTTTGCCGTGGGCTTTTGGAGGTGTGGCGTCAAGAAAACATGTCTATATATCAACTGGCCAAAAAATGGTCTTCATTTTATTTGATCTCTTTCAATGATTTTATTAGCTAAAAGAAAATCCTTTACCTTTTTTGATTAGCAAGAATTTGAGGATTCGAATTTGGCAACAAGAACAGGTTTATTCTTGCTTTAGGCCATTATTTTCTGCTACCCTTCTGTTCTACGTTCGACGCAATCATAAAAATGCCCCAAATTGAGATACCTTTGACTATTTTAGTTCTAGCTTTGATGGCTTGCATTTGCATTATTCAACATATAGGCGCTTCCACGCCTTCCAAATGGAACAATAAAGCCTGGGAATCAGACTCGAACCGGCTATACACAACCATGGAATTTCACTTGATATTTAACGAGATTAAGGATTAAATAATGATTATTAATAATTACATATTGCTGCTGAAAAAATGTAGCTAACCGCTTTGCTATACAGGGTGTATAAAAAAAACTGCACAGATTTGAAATTGCTCTTAAATTCGCAAAACAGCTATTAATATCCAGTTTTTGATGTATATAGCTTCTTTGGGTACTTATAATGAAGAAAAATGGAAAAAATTTCTCGAACTCAAATTTTGTAAACCAGGGGGGGGGGGTCTTTTCAAACAAACTAAAAATGGCTTGCGCACGAAATTTAAAAGCTTTAATCATATTTTAAGTTAACAGATGGAACATTTGTTGGGTTTTTAATTACTGTACAAAATTTCAGACAATTTGCTTTAGTTTAAGCCCTTTAACTATTCATTTTTCTCTAAAAAATTTGCCTTAATGCATGCTTAATTTTAATGCCTTTACCTAATTTGCATCAGCAATATGCATATGCAAATTAGGCAAAGGCATTGATGATTTTTTAAGAAAAAATGCAAATGGATGATTTTTTAAGAAAAAATGTAAGTTTGCGTGAATGGTTAAAGGGCGTAAACTGAAGCAAATTTTTTTGAAATTTTGTACAGTAATTAAACACCCAACAAACTTTCTATCTGTTAACTTAGCATATGATTAAAGCTTTTAAATTTCGTGCGCAAGCCATTTTTAGTTTGTTGGAAAAGACACACACCCGTGGTTCACAAAATTTGAGTTCGAGAAATTTTTTCCATTTTTCTACATTATAAGTACCCAAAGAAGCTATATACATAAAAACTGGATACTAATAGCTGTTTTGCGAATTTAAGAGCAAATTTCAAATATGTGCAGTTTTTTTTATACACCCTGTATTTATTATAAGTTTGCGTATATTTACTTTTAACTGCGATCTATTTGTTATTTATAGGTTTTAACCGGCAGCCATGGTGACCGTATCACAGCGCCAGATACCATTATCATCTTTACAGATGGTAACTACAATGACGAAGGCATCCCAGAAGTTCTCAAAAAATTAAGAAAGAGAAAAGTTCGTATTGTAAGCGTGGGAGTTGGAGGTCAAGGGAAGAACTTCAAACAGGTCAAGGTCGACGCGCTCGCTATAGGGACTGGGGATGTGTATGATCTTACGAATTTGGAATCGTCTGAGTTTATAGATGATATCGCTCCGAGTACGTGTAAAATGACCTCATGCACATCAGGTAAACTGAAATAGTTTTTTTTGTTAACCGAGGAGGCCGAACAATAGCTTCTAAATAAGAATAGAGAGCTTGAGCATGCGACCTTTTTAAAAACACGGACGCTAACCGGAAGTTATCGCGGAGCAATTGTCAGGGACGCCGGAACGACGAGAGGGCAAAGGGGGCAGTCTTTCGTCGAAGGGCACTTTTGAATTGATATATATTAAAGGACGTTTACGAAACATCTGGAGTTTAACGCTGCCATAATCACGTTTCTGATTTGTAAAGAAAGAGGGAGGTCTGCGGTTCTCCCCCAGAGGATTTTGATATTTTTGAAGCTCAATGACTGCATTTCTGGCACAAAAGAATTCAGCCAAAAATGCCCAAAATGACTGTTGTCATACGCGAAATTTGAGCTATATAGAGACTCGTTTGAATCAAGTTCCTTCAAGTAATTTTACTTTTCTCATGTATTGTTATCGCTTTAAAGTTATCTTAACTTCGCCCTCCTTCTCAGCCCAATTTCTTTTCAGAGGTATTTGCGAAAAATATGAGGTGACACGCACGTTAATAGCGAATTGGGACAACACTGGAATCATGTAAACTTAATTTTCATACATTTCTTACAGTTTTCCAGCTAAAGTTTGTTATATCATATACTTTATATAGTTCTCTAATAACAAGACCGAATTCTTTCTATTAATAACAAATATTTTCCTTTAATCAAAAGGCCACCTTCGCTCCCCTTGCCCCTCCTGGTAAAGGGCAAGAGGGGCAGCTGCCCCTCCTGGCCCCCCAGTTCCGGCGTCCCTGCATGCAATTATAGATGGCGATTGATGGCGTCCGCAGTTCTTGTGTGAAATCACGAACATAAAACTTCGTTGACTGCCTTTCTTGATCTCGAACTAGAACTGCTAACCCAATCACTCGCCATCTGCAACGGCTCAATTTAAAACGCCGCAAACATATCAAAATTCTTTTACAGCTGCTCCAAAATGTTCGCCAGAAAATCAAGATATCCTATTTCTTATGGATGGTTCGGTCAATATTGGCAGCGCATTTTTCCGGCTAGGGCAGAGGTTTGTTAAACGTCTCATAGACAAGATGACTATTGGAAAGAATACAACGCACGTGGGTGTCATGCAGTATGGTTCTGCTGGACGAGTTTCACACGTATCAAGGCTAACCACGAATAACTTGCGGAGTCAAATCAGTAATCAAATTTCTAGGATGGTTTATATGGATGAACGGCGGGACTCAGATTTGGCTTATGCCTTGTCCATTGCCAGCGATACGGTAAGCTTTCGAAATATCGAAATATTGAAATGTAAAAATTAACCCATCGATCCGTAATGTAAACCACGTTGTGCGGTGAAGGCACATCCTTTTGGATGATTATTTTTAGCGTGATGTGAGTTGGCGCACAACATGCGATTGAGCAAAAACTCGTCACTAAAGATGGAGTTTCTTACATTTTGCAATAAATCAACATGTAGCTAACTGGATCTAAACGTTTCCTTTGGGCAAATTGAAACCAGTGGCGGCGCCAGGGGGAGCAAGGGGGGGCAAATGCCCCCTAATTATTTTTTGCCCCCTCCCTCCCATTTCCCCCCCCCTCAAAAAAATTTATTAGTCACTGAGAGCGACTAAAGGCTACACAAGCGTTTTGTCGTTATCGGAAAATGTATAGCTTATAAGTTGTCATTACCCATTAGTGAATGCGCGTATACATGAAACTCTCTTTTACAGTTTCAATATTAGTTTGTAAATCTCTGAATGGTAAAACTTGCCAATACTCCAATAATACGTTTCAAAAAGGACAAAAAAGCTTTAGTTTTGCAAAGTTAAATTCTCAAACATGTAAAGGCCCACACAGACCGGACGTGATTCGGCAACGCGACGCGAATTTTCAGTTTTTAAAAACAAATAAAACCGTCAATGGATAAAAATTTTACAAAGTATGCAGACCAAATAGCTAAAATTGCTAAGTGGTCCCGAATATTTGAAAAACAATGAAAAATATTAAAGTTAAATGTCATTGAAAACTGAAAATTTGCGTCGCGTTGCCAAATAGCGTCCGGTCTGTATGGGCCTTAATTAAGCACTAATAACATGAACGTATCATGAAATTATTTGAATAAACCACATCGCATATATGGGGGGCGAATATCCTAAAGGGAGGGCGATGTTCCTGGGGCATTAATTCGCCCCTCTGGGGGGGGGCGATATTCCTAGGATATTCGTCCTCCGGGGGCGGTATTCCTAGGAATATCTCCCCCTTTTGAGAAGGGGGGCGAATCTCCTCCGGGGGGGGGGGAACAAAAGTCCTGTGACAACGGCTTGGGCAAATAGCAGTACCTTTTTAAAAATTCTATCTTGCCCCCCCAAAATATGAGTTTGCCCCTCAAATGCCCACCCAAATTGTGAGGCCTGGCGCCGCCACTGATTGAAACAAAAAATTAACCAAAATGGGCGAGGTCGAATTTTGCATCAACATACCTAACGATTAAAGTGGCCAACGTATTGGACTAAGGGTATGTTTACATTGTATCAGATCGATCGTTTTTTTTTCGTTTGCAAAATTATGTTACGCTCAGGTGTAAACAGCTTCCGCCTCTGCCCTTCTATGCCTACGTTTTTTCCTTCATATATTTACCAAAAACAAAAATATTGCAGGCGTCATTTGAAAGAGTGAGCAAACTATACCCGTCCAAACAAGGTTAGAATAGCAAGTTTTTGTTTGCCAGACGCCATCTTGAATCCCGAATTGAACTAAAAATTGCTACGATTGGTGTTTATATTGCAATGACAACGTTGCAAAAACTAATCCGGCACAATTTGACGATTACATCATTTCATATGTAAACACGAGCTCTATATATCCGTTATGGTTTTTTAACATGCATAGCCTAAAATGTGTACTTTCTTGAAGCTATACATATTTTGCTGCCATGAAATAGTACAATGAGGTGGCAAGAAAGTTAACATGCATTACAATACCACATAATTGACATTTTATCTGAAGTGGTTTTGTTTTGTTTTATTGTTTTGTTGATAACTCTGCCAGCATGCACATACAGCAACATTGAAATGGGAGAGGGGATTTTATATTGCCCAATAATTTACAAAAATAACTTTTTAATCTAAGTGTCCCACCTTTCAGTATCACTGATTATGACCAGCAGTAATATTGCCTCATGTAGGCAAAATACCGTAAACCTCCGACTATAAGCCCCCCGAATATAAGCCACCCCCCGAATATAAGCCCCCCGAATATAAGCCCACCATATAACACTCACCTCATTCCAAATATAAGCCCCCCAAATATAAGTCCCCGAATATAAGCCCAGTAGCCCACTACGTTATTCAACATTGACATTGTCTTTTAATATAGCAGAGAACGATATTTAAAAAAACATTGTCATTGTCTTTATAGCCGACTATGTGAATCAAAGCGCGTTATTGATACATGTTTATTTTCCTGTTTATGACTGACTTGTTTATTACTAACACAAAAGATCGTCCAAGTATTAGCCCCCCGTATAATATAAGTCCCCCCCCCCTTGTATAAGCCCATCAAAAATCGCTTACGAAAGTATATAAGCCTAGGGCTTATAGTCGGAGGCTTATGGTATCTTGTTAGGTTACATTGATACTTTAATTAAAAACCTTTTAATTTCAATTCCAGCTGCTTAACCCAAGAGAGAAAGGTCGTGACGTCGTTTCAAAAACCATTGTTTTAATAACAGATGGTGACATTAACGATTTCGCCGAAGTTAATTCCATGGCAAAAACTGTGCGTAACCGAGGAATCCGTATCATTGCCCTGTCTAATGGCATGAACAGCGACTATAAGACATATGTATCGTCACTCGGGCTTATCGCTTCAGGTCCAAAGGAATATTACAGAGTTGACAACTCCCAGTTTAATGAAGTTCTTGCAGAGTTAGAGAAAACTGTATGTATCTCAGAACCACAAAGTAAGTAGACTGTGATGGTTTTATACAAACCTGTTACTATTGGTCTGTCAAAATTAGGGTACCCTCCAGATATCAGGAGTACATTCTATCATTATCATTTCACTGGCAAATACAGTTTCGACTGGCTGGAGCACTTTCTCTGTAAACTGGCCATTTACCATTCATTCACACTATATGCAATGCATATACTTGTTGAAAATTATGACATCACTAAATCCAAAATAATTCCACGTTTACCGATAACACAGCTGGGCATTTTAGTCAGAAAACGTAAAAAAACTAACCACGCCTCTATACGATGGAATATCTAACTACCTTTTAACACAACCAGCCCTCGATATTTCGAAACCATTAATACGGTATGTTATTTCTCATTGCAGTTCCAGAAACGTGTTTTAGTCAAAAACGTCGAGTATTTTTTGCCCTGGATAGCTCTTCAGGGCGTGGCAAGAAAAAATTCAGAGAGGTAAAGGAATTCATGGAAAACTTGGTGACAAAACTTCAGATTGGTGTGTCAAATAGTCCTGTTGGCTTCCTACAGTATGACGATCTCACGACTTCAAGAGATCGTGTAGTGTTCGAGAAGGATGAGTCAGTCGAAGAAACCTTATCTCGTATCAAGAATATGAAATACCGTAAAGGAAGAGAGAGTTACCTTGGAAATGCTTTGAAAATTGTTAATAATCAGGTACAGTGTTAATTTTTAAAAATTTTTCAACATATGAGCTAAACTTGGGAGCAAAATTGACTCATATTACAATGTTACATTACAGACATAGATTAAAACAATCATAATTGCAGTTGGTAGCTGTTAGTTAACATGTCGAGAAATAATGGGGAACGCATGCGTATGATACTTGCTGGCATTTGATCAGAATGATCTTATGGGAGATTTAGAAGGGAAACTGAAAATATGCGTTAATAGCACGTTCAATTTTGTATTTAACTAATATTTCGATCGAATAAAGGTTGTATTTGACAACCGTCACTTGAATTTAATTAAACATCCACCCTACGGCATCATTAACTCACTTCTACTTAGCTTTCCATTGAATTCACTAGGTCTTCCCACA